TGATTTTGTTGTCATGAATTTAAAACTTTTGCAATGAGGGCAGAGCTCTCTTAGGAAAGAACCTTAAACTTCCTCATCAATTGCACTACTCTATATGCCAATCCTGTACTCCATCCAAAACATCTTGTTGATTTTTGCAAAAAGAATTGCCTTATATGGGCAGAATGAGAAAGCTGAGGACTTCCTAAATTACTTCATTAAAAATGTGCACTGAAGCAGCCCCAAAGCTCACTCTTGAATTTACTATGATAGTTTTCAAGTTTCATATGAAATTGTTCACAGACGCAAAGAAGCAGAAGTCATGGATATAGCTGAAAAGAGCTAAGAATACAAAATTCTGTCGATTTGCCCATTATTCAGAACCACTTGCTTGGAATTATTTATTCACCACTAACTGCAGCTATATCCCACTTCTTTTCCAGACTGTCTCAGGGTGACATATCTCACTATATTCCCAGTTGGTTTCCTATCCAGACACTGATTTAACCCAGCCCACTTTAGCATTAGATCACTCCATATGCCTTCAGATCATGCCCTGGGCCTTGGAATTACTCTTCAGGCAACATTTCAAGCTATGCCACAGGCTAATCCAGTTCTTGTTGCACTATGTTTGTTTTACACCCTAGGCAACCAATACAAAAATGTATTTTTTCCATCCTGAAATAAAACACACAACCTAGCACTGTTACAAAAGTTCAAGCGTCAAGCCCAACAGGGAGAGTGATGCAGTGGGTAGAATTCATGAAAGAGAATGAATGGCAGGGTCCTATATGCAATGGCTATGTTTCAATTAGGCTCTATTTCTGTGTGAACCACCCAAAATGGGGGTGGTATATAAGATTCATGAAAGAGAATGAATGGCAGGGTCCATTCAATGGAAGGCAAGCCCTATATGCAATGGCTATGTTCCAATTAGGCTCTATTTTTGTGTGAACCACCCAAAATGGGGTGGTATATAAGTACCATCTCTCTCTCTCTCTCTGTATATATACTGTATACCATATTTTTCCATGTATAAAATGACACTTTCTCCTTAAATAATTTGAGAAAAATTTGAGGGTTGTTTTATACATGGAAGATAGCTCTTCACCGGTGCCTTTTGCAAAGGCACAGGGCTTAGCAAAAAGGAAGGGGAGGCATTGCTCCCTTCCTTTTTGCTAAGCTCTGTGCCTTCTCAAAAGGCAAGGAAAGGTGGCAAAATACAGCCCTTTGATCCCAGCTTTTTCTAATTTGGGGTTAGAAAAGGGGGTGGTTGTCTTATACATTGGGTTGTCTTATAAATGGAAAAAAATGGTATACAGTTTATACGTTATATATAAGTTTCTAAACACTTTTCAATGGCGTATGCAGCATATACGTACGTACGTGCGTACGTACGTACATACATACATACATACATACATACATACATACATACATACATACATACATACATACATACATACAAACATACAAAGAAACAAGAAATAAGACAGCACCCAGGCACCTCTACCTGTAGATGTCAAATGTGACTATATATATTCATGGGCAAGTATATATGTTTGTCTGAAGCACAACATTAAAAAAAAAACTAAGATCATGGCCACTGGTCCCATCACCTCCTGGGAAATATAAGGGGAAGATACGGAGGCAGTGACAGATTTTACTTTCTTGGGCTCCATGATCACTGCAGATGGTGACAGCATCCACGAAATTAAAAGATGCCTACTTCTTGGGAGGAAAGCAATGACAAACCTCGACAGCATCTTAAAAAGCAGAGATATCACCTTGCCAACAAAAGTCCTCATAGTCAAAGCTATAGTTTTTCCTGTAGTGATGTATGGAAATGAGAGCTGGACCATAAAGAAAGCTGACTGCCCAAAACTTGATGCTTTTAAATTGTGGTGCTGGAGACAGCTCTTGAGAGTCCTCTGGACTGCAAGGAGAACAAACCTATCCATTTTAAAGGAAATCAACCCTGAGTGCTCACTGGAAGGACAGATCCTAAAGTTGAGGCTCCAATACTTTGGCCATCTCATGAGAAGACTCCCTGGAAAAGACCCTGATGTTGGAAACATGTGAGGGCAAGAGGAGAATGGGACAACAAAGGGTGAGATGGTTGGACAGTGTCATTGAAGCTACCAACATGAATTTGAACAAACTCCGGGAGGCAGAGGAAGACAGGAGGGCCTGCTATTGGTAGAGGTGCTTGGGTGCTGTCCTTTTCTTTGTTTTGCTACATTTTCAATGGAATGCCTCGCAGGACGAAAAACCCATTTTGGCAATGGGGTTGGTGACTCACAAGACAAATGTTACTATGGCCATGCTTCGCAAGACAATTGTTTTCCATTTTTTGTTCCTGCCTCATGTTCGCTGATTTTTAAATGTTTTTCTATTATGTTTAAAAAGTTAAATTTTTTTGATTGAAATTTTTGAAATCATCTGCACTATATGTATGGCTTTAAAGAGCACTTAATAAGCCCTTTGTAAACCAAATTTGACTTTGTTCTGACTTTTTTTGCCTGTAGGAACGCATTAATTAGATTTCAATACATTCCTATGGGAAAATGCGTTTCGCAAGACAAATTTTTTGGAAGACGACATTAACCGCTGAATGAATTAAATTCGTCTTGCGAGGCACCACTGTATTTCAAACTATTTGTGGTCTATTTAAATTGAGGTTTTGCCTTCATTTCCATTTTATTATTGTTGAGCACCTGGAGTGCCATTTCTGAGGGAAATAAAGGTCTAACAGGATTAAGACTATGTAGATCATGAGGGGCCAAGTGTGGCCAAGTCTTCATTGAAATTAAGGTCTAATTAAATATATAAAATAAATCAATTACTGAAATCCAGCAGTAAGTTGCAACTTGAGTAGGTCTACAGAATCAATTGAATTTATAGAGTTGACTCAACAGTTCCCCAACGATTCAATGGGTCTACTTGAGTTGAAATTTACTACTGGATTTCAGCCAACTGTTTCATCACCTGTTAAATATTCTCTTCCAGTGGTGGGCATCAATTGAGGGCTTAGGAGTCAGATCTGCTCCACTTGCCCTTTTGTAGTGGGGAAGGGTATTAAAATGGTGGGAGGAGATAGGTTTTAAATGACTGACCGTGCCCAACTGGCTATTTATGGCTGCTTTTTTTTTTCAGCATGGCAGAAACCAAGGACCTTGCACATGCTGTTCTCAACCCAGCCTTCCTCGTTTCCATATTCTTTGAGGAAAAAATTAAGTGATTTATTAAATTGTTATTCTTTGTAGTTTGTGGCAGGTAATGACCATGATTTTTTCCTAATGCATAGGTGTGCTGTTCAGAATTGTATGTATATACTGGCGAAACTCTAAGAATAATACTTTGTCTGAAGAAGTGGATGATGTTCCACAAAAGCTTGCACTGAAATATAGCAGACAATCTTTAACGTGCCACGGCATCTTTTTTTTTTGCTTTTGTTTTGTGTTTCTTGTTGAAATGCTTGCACAGATTAACAAAGCTACAACTCCAAAAACTGTCTTTTTATATAGCTTGTATTGTGATTCAGTTTTTTTATAGCTCCCCTTTTAAGAGCATGTTTGTGGGTGTAGCTAATATGCTTCTGTGATTTGTCAGGATGGCAAAAACATGTGAAACGTGTAAACAATTCATAAATGGCTGATTCCATCAACTGTCTAAACTGGGTGCAATAATGGAAACTTATGACACAAAGTACAAACAGTGAGGTTGAATAGAATTACTGCATACAGATGCGAATAAGGAATAGTTTACCATATGAAGCTATTGAAACAATGAACACAAATGAGTTCAAGAGACACCTAGATTACTTCCAGAGGGCATAAAATCAAGGGAAATGGTTTTTCAAAAGCAGAGAAATAATGGGATGGAGATCAATTGGAAAGAGGTCTGTTGGCAGATGACCTTACCCTGCTCACAAAATGCTTTCTCTTCTTCATGGCAAAGTTTAACTCAAGAGCGAACACAGCAAGTTGCCCACAAGCCTGAATTAGGATTTCATTTCCTGGAGTCTAGAAGTTGGTGTCATGGGTTCCTTGACTCTCAAATGCTGTTGGTTAATCACATGTTTGATGCCAACTAGTTTGAAGACAGGCTGATTTTGTGAATATAAGACTTGAGGCCCTAGGACTTGGTTTGATTGTGAACTGAGGGAGGGAAGAAATACCCAGGGTAAGTAGAGAATGAAAGGGGAGTAGTGGGAGGAAGCCCGGTGCAGCAACAACCTCCCTCTTGCAACACTGCAAAAGAAGCTGTAGCTGCAGTAAAGCACATTAGTACCAGCCATATAGTATTTCAGCAATAAAAGAGCCCAAGGCTTCTCTGTTTATTTTGTTTTCTAGACCATTGCCTGCAGCGAATACCAGACTCTTTTTTAAAAAAAAGCATTCCTCCACCCTACCCAACAAAAAACACACACCATATAATAAATGCTAAGTGGTATGCAATCAAGACAAATTATTTCTGAAGCTGCCATTATTTCAATATACAAGTGACAGCACAGGAAATGTTAGGCTATATCTAGGGATTCAGTGGGAAATCAGACAGTAACAGACTGTCCAAATATGGCTGATATGTGCTGGATTGAGATTTCTGTTGAGGAAGGAACTCGCTATTAGATTTTAGTTTAGAAGAAAAAGTTAAAAGAGCAAACTAAAATGTGGCAATTCTATTCCAGCCTTCTGAAGTGTGATGCTGTATATATCTTGAATCCAGAACAATCTTGGCCAGAGCTTGAAAGAGTTACTTTTTAAGAGATGCTAGGAATTTCAAACTAAAAGAGTACTTTTATCTTGGCAATTTTATCCATACCATGTATTGTAATCATATGAATTATTGTTGTAACATGTATTGCTAATTGTATTATATCCACTGCAATAGATCTGGCTGGCTCTCTTGGCTAGAAAACACATTTCTCCATTGTTCTTGCAGCCCGGCCTATTTTCTTTTATTGAGAGCAGTGTCACATTAACAAAAACATTCTTCCAGAAATGTTTTATATGCCTTACCAGTACACTGCCATCAGTCCAACGAAAGTCACTTTCATACATCTTATCGTTTAGGCCAATCCACTGGTAGTCATGTCCTATACCTAGTAGCATAAAAGAAACAAAGGAAATTTAGAAAAAAAAAATCTTATCCATGGAAGGAAATTGTCTCAAAATGAAAGCATTTCACAAAATGACTCAAGGTGTGTGTGTGTGTGTGTGTGTGTGTGTGTGCACATGTGCGTGTGAGTGCGTGCATGTGTGAAACAGTCTCACTTCAGAGACAAATGAATATTCAGAAAGTCCAACCTACTTTTCTAAAGCTTAAGATACTGATAAAAATGTTTACACAAACTATGTTTCTAATGTATTTTATTTTTGTTCCTGGTGAATGGCCTAAAAAGGCATAAGCACAAGGATATTGATGGTGTCCCCACCACAATACTAGAACCCAAAGATCCACCAAGCAAAGGCTGAGGATTATTATTTTTTAATAATCGCAGCTGCACAGCTGCTACCATGGTCCATTCCCGCCTGCCTGCCCCCGGAACCAGCCTGGTCCACTTACCAGGCTTTGAGAGGTGTGTGCATCTGTCAACATGGTTGCGCCTATCGCGGACACAGTCCCGCTGGTGCTTCCCCAACTTTCCCTGCAGCTTACCACTCCAGCAAGGAGCTGCTGAGCAATCTGCTGCAGGGAGAGGCAGGGAAGTGCCAGCAGGACTATGTCGGCAATTGGTGTGACGACAATGTTGAAGGATGTGCATGATGCGTGGAGCCCGGTAAGTGGACCAGGCTGTTTCTGGGTGGGCAGGAATGGAGCGCAGTGGCAACTGTGCTGCCACACTTCATATTCATATCCCGTGGATCTCTGCTTCATTTTAGTGGTATCTTCTAGGTCAGCGATGGCGAACCTATGGCACGCATGCCACAACTGGCACGCAGAGCCCTTTCTGTCGGCACGCGAGACATAAGTCTCTGGATCACTACTCCTCCCCCCCCCGCAGCCAAACCTCAGGAGGTGGCTACAGCCATGGTGCTGGTGCTTTGACAGGTGGCGGGTCAGGATCAGGAGCAGCTGGCCCTGGCAGTGGATCTGGAGTGGTGTCTCGAGGCACCTCCATGCCCGGGATTCCCCCTTCCACCGCCACTTCCAGTTCTGCTGCCGTGACCCACCACCCACTTTTTCTCTCCCCCCCTTTCAGTTTGAGCACTCGGGCCCAAAAAGTTTTGCTGCCACTATTCTAGGTCATGAGAGCCGTTTTATTATTGTCAGGTTAAATCAAATGAAAGTGAGAAATCCTTGTCAACCTACTACAAATAGTAGTCACCAGGTAAGCAGTATCCCATTCCCAGGGATTTCAGGACCAAAGCTGGGATCTTGGGATGTGCCCTTGTAACGACTTAAGGGCACAAACTTCAGCTACAGTAGCAAAATGGTGTATGCATAAGAGATACGCACCATGGCAAGACATTACAGTGGGGTCTCTACTTAAGAACGTCTCTACTTAAGAACAATCCATCTTAAGAACAGCTCCATTGAATGAATGAATGGATGAATGAATGAATGAATGAATGAATGAATGAATGAATTTAAAGGACAGTGAAGCAGTGCTACCAAGGGGAGATTTGCAGACTGAAGCTATGAGAAACAAGTGTATTAGTTGTTTCTAATAAACTTGTTTCTATTAGAAACCCCACATTCTAAACTATCTATGATGATGCCTTGAACATATTCAAGAACAGGCAGGATATGAATGCAGGATATGAATATATAAAATGTACAAAATAGATAATCAAATCGCCTTAGATGGCAACAGAGGCCAGAACTCCTGTTACCAGTACCCACTATGGAAATTTAATGCCATGGCAGATATTAGAAGTGGGAAAACTCCAGATGCCATTTATGAAAAGTGAATTTTCAAGTGAAAACAAGAGATACAGTACAGTAAACCTTGTTTTGAGGAGAATCTTACTTTCCAAAAGTTTGCAAAAAGAATGTAAAACACAGTGTTTGTTCCCTGTACCTCTTGTTTAATGCAAATTTGTAATTTGGGGGTATAATGCACTGCAAGAAGAAAGAAAGAATGACTGGGGGGTTGCATACAGAATGGGTGCCCCTCTCCATAATTGCAGGCATCCACAAAAATCCACCAAAAATACTCGGGATTACTGAATTTTACGGGGGGGTGTTAAAAAACTCTAGCACTATGCTAGTTTATTTTGATGTTGTATACAAAAATAGAACATGATTGAACTGTAAATAAAAATGGTGATCATGACATTTTTATATTTTCTATTTCTTAAGTCTTGGACAGATTCAACGCTGCCAAGGTGATTCACTGATCTGTTCAGGGACATTTTTTTTGTTAACATCAGATAATGTTCAGCAACATTTACAAGCATGGGTATTATTTCTTATGGCAGAAAATCAACAACCCACAGGCTTTTCAGGAGGCAACAAAAACTTGACAGCAAGGATTAATCGCATTTCTTCCAAGAACATGTTCAGGGAAGAAGACAACTGATGAAGGGTTTAAGCCTAAATCACATTAGTCTGGAATGTATGTGTTTTTTAGACTGCAACTGAGCCAGTAACAAATGTTAGCTATGTTTCTAACAGAATAAGAAATGACTGATGCTGCTTTTCCTGTGAGTATTTCTAATTTGTCTGGAGATGGAAGTGTCTCAAAAATGGGCCTAAAATGAACATTTTCAAAAGACCAACACCTTAAGTTTTCTTCTAGTACAACTTTTTCTGAGGTAAATTCTTTGGGCTCGTAAAAGACCAAGTTCTTCAGGCTTGTCAAAGATTATTTCCTTCAAAATCAACAAATTCTACCCCAGCTATTGAGTATGACAGATTCTGGAGTGAGAATGAAAAGAATAAAACAGCCGTCTGGGACAAAAGGCCCTCTTTTAAAAGAATAAATGATAACACACACTTTAAAAGCAATATATAAAGACAATATTTAGAGGTCCAGTGAGTATTTTTTTAAAAAAACAACTACAACAGAGAGCGCCATTCCATTCCCACTGCATCCTTAGGCCCAGCATTGGATGAAAATGCCACGTACGGTTCACGAAGAGCTGTTCTTCATGAGACAGGATGCTTGTCAGATGGGCCCCCTGGAGGCGGCATTCTCGTTCAGCTGCATCCCAGGTACGCCGATGGGCAAAGTATTTGTAGCATTGCCCTTGGAACTTGTGCCACCCGTAATCGCAGGTCTCAGTGTCTGCAACAAATAAGCACAAAATTCTTAGAAGAAATGCAGGTTGCTAATGCCTAAGGCTGCCCACTTGATAGTATATTAACATCAATATTGTCCATATGGAAGCATTCAAAGATAAGGCAACCCATATTCTGCATGACAAAACTGAAATAAACTAAAATAAGTAAATATGACATAACCATTCATGTAAGTTTATGTCAACTATTTTGTTTCACACTTGTGTATTGTTTGTACAGTTTCTTCTTTGCTTTTCAGGTTTTTGATGCCCAGCTCTGAGCAAAATGAAGTGCAGAAGGAGACAAGGTGGTTTGGAGAAAAGGACTTTACAGACGTTTGGAGAGCAAAGCAAAGTGTGCTGCTTATATACTGTCCCATAATGCTTAAAGCACTCTCTGGGTGGTTTGCAATTTAATTATTCAGGCTACACATTAACAGACATGCACCCACGTGAGCTCGGTATTCAATCTACTGACTGCGGAAGGCCAAGTCAACCTCAAGCCAGCTACCTGAGCCTGTCAGGATCAAACTCAGGTCATGAGCAGGGTCTTGACTGCAGCAGTACATTAAACCGCTGCACCACAGGGCTCCTAAGTACACTGAAGGAGAACTGTGGAGAGTTTTCATGAAGAACTGAAAACTATACTGTAGTCAGAAGCTTCAGACTAAGCATTTAAAACCCACTGGAGAAAAATAACAGAACGTGGAAACATCATTGTTTGGTCAATAACCCCCAGGATTCCTGGCTGAGAGATATAGTCGAAAAGGTAGACTGTCATAGCTGAAACCAGTGTGTTCTTAAAACACTTCACCACAGCAGCATCCTCTCACTACTTTTTAAGAAGGAAGTCTCCAAATCTACAGATTACTCCTTCCACAGAGTGAACTGCTGCCATTAAATCAAGGAAAGCAAATCACATACACTCCTTTTGAGGTTATGGCTACTGCCTATGTGACTTGTAAATACACATCTTCATCTATTAGTCCTTGAAAGCTGAAGGGGGGTTCTGTACCAGATGCCACATTTTACATAAAAGGGGAGGAAACTGAACAAACTCATATGTGGCATGTAAATGCTTAAACAACTGTGTTATTCTTTAAATGTTCATATAGTTTTTTAGCTAAACTATCCACCATGAGCTTGGCAACTAAAGGTCACCAACTACTGTCTTTAACTTATATAGTCCTAGAACTCAATGGCTATCATGGCTTGGCATCATGCCTAAATGAATTTTAACCCATTAATATGTGTACTGGCTACAGAGCTTGAGAAAGTTTTTGGTTTCTACTTACTTACTTACTTACTTACTTACTTACTTACTTACTTACTTACTTACTTACTTACTTACTTACTTACTTACTTACTAGACTATAGCTTCCAGAATCCCACAGGTTGCATTATAATTAATTACAATATAATTAATTATTGCAAAATAATTAATTACAGGATGCATGCATCATGCTAGTTCAGGGAGTCTAGAGTTGTTTGGAAAAAAAAACTCTTCCAAGCTTTGAAATTACGATTATGCTGCTAATGATCTTCTGAAACTTCTGTTATAACATCCTACAAATTCCACACTGGAGTTAGAAAACAGCAAACAGACATATAGCAAAGAATAGTAAAATTTACATGAGTTACTATTGATAAAGCTTCTTATTTTAAAACAATCAGCCTGTGTAGTTAACACTAAAGGAAATGTGAAACATCTGATCAAACCCAACCTAGGGGACAAAGTTTCCAAGATATGGAGAAAATATGGACTTAGTGAAGTTTGGAAACAACCTGTGAAGAGATCTCTTGTAAGCATTGTTAATTTTCTGCCCTTGAGGAAGGATACAAAATAATTAAATGGCTGACTCACATTAGGTCCTTTTTTAACATCTTGAATCTCTGTTTTAGATTGGGATCATGTAGTCAGTCTTGGAAGGAAATTGAATCAGTCACTCCCACCCAGTCTGGCTTTGCTCACCTCCCCTTTTTTTGTTTTTCTTTTTAGTGTCTAAAAATTAAATACACCCAATTCCCTCCTCCTTTTTTCCAAAAAAGTATGTGAATAGGGTGGATATATAAATAAGATACAGATGGTATCCTGTTAACCTCTGGTTTGCCCCACAGACTCACTGGAAACAACAGTATCTGAATTAGTTGCAGCTAATTTGTTCCACCAGTTTTGTAAATAACTTCGGCTGAACATTACGGCTGGACATGTAATTGCAGAGAAAAAAGAATAGCAGCAGGTAGGTTGCTGGGAGCTAATATGGCAATGGCTTATAGCAGTCTTTTTTCCTCCTGTTTTCACGAAAAGCATTCTTTGGCTGAAATTCTGTTGCTTAGCATTGCAAGTTGCACTTACAACGCTAAGCAACTCCTCCTTAATTCCTGTTGATTCAATGGATTTACTCTAATTGTGACTTACTACACTAAAGCAAGCCACAACCAGAGTTGACCTGGAACTTAATAGAGGAATTGACTCACCCCTACCCCACTGATTCAGTGACTTATTACTCCAAACAATTCAGTTCCTAATTTCTATAATACGTAGTAGAGAAGCTTTTGCATCAGCCAACAAATCAATGCTATCAAATATAGGAAGGCGTGAAACTCTTGGACCTTGAGCACTTTTTAATGGGCTTGTGTGAATAACACTGTCAAGCTCACACTTATCCAGACAGACGTATGACAAAGGACAAGTGTATTTCAGTGTTTGTTTGAACTATGGCTATTCTATTTGCAAGTGGCCTTTTATCATGAAGGAGACCATATCTTTAGACCTGTCTACAAACACTGATATATTCACGGTTTAAATTATTATGCCCTTTATTTATAAACTGCTTTTCCACAAGTGAATGTCCTGTATGAAACAGCCACTTTAAAACTACACACAATATACTTCCAAATAAAAGCATACAACAAACATTTTAAAAGGACCTACTCTTCACAATTGTCCAAACAACAGTTTATGGCTCTGGTCCAAACTGGTAATGCTATGAACACATATCTTGGAATAAGCCTTATGGAACAACATGGAATTTATATGCATGAGGTTGCACTTTTAAGTCCCATAATAAGACTAAACTTAATCACAGCAAACTTCCTTCACTGGTTATGACAGGAACTATTGTCACCCAGCTATCAGGCATTCTGTGTCTATTACCTGGCTACTTATTGCAACTTTTTCTCAATAAACTTCTACAATCAATGGACTGAGTTCTATTGCACCTGAGGGAAGCAAGATGTCGAAACCTATGGGACATATTTCTAATAAGCCTGTTCACTTTGAGCTGCTCCTCTTTTCCCCCCTTTGTTACAAGTCCAAACTCCTAGCAGTGTCCACCGCATATTTCTAATAAGCCTGTTCACTTTGAGTTGCTCCTCTTTTCCCCGCTTTGTTACAACTCCTAGCACTGTCCACCAAGGCAGAATGGTCATAGTTGAGACACCAGACTAAGATGCATCTGCCACCTTCAGGAATTAATGTTCATATCAAAAGAAGAGACATAGCTGAGACACCAGACTAAGATGCATCTGCTACCTTCAGGAATAATTGTTCATATCAGAAGAAGAGGAATGATAATTCCACTGGTGATGAGAGTGTAGAAGTTCCTGTAGGGTAGTACTGGGTAGCAGCAGTAGCAGAAGGTAACACTGGCAGAGGATCTTTCACAGACAACAGCAGTTGAAATTCAAGTTAAGTCATGTTGGTACTCTGCACGAGAAGGCTGATTACCCACTTCTGAATATTAATACATTGAAAACTCTGTAATCAGACAATCTTAAATCAAATTAAAGGTAGTACTGGAAGATGAGACACTCAGGTTGAAAGGCACTCAGTTACTGAGGAAGAGGAAAAGAAAAATATGAATAGTGCCATCACTAAGGAAGTATATTCTGGACTAAAGTGAAAAGGATATCTAACTGCTCATGTACATGGAGACAAAAGGAAAATCTGGTCATCTGCAATACATATAATTTGAAGATGAAATGTGAAAAACAATTTCTTCAAAAAATAAACAACTTCTAGTTCATGAATGTGAGATATTGTTTCTATATCCATAAACCAAAATGCCAGGAAACAGTTCAACACTGCCTTGCAATATCGTGCCCAAATTGCCAACAGAAAAAAAGAATGCCAAACTTTACCAAGCAAAGACCAGCTTGAATGTTGACAACACCAATATCAATGGTCAAGATGACCTACAGGATCTCAAGCAAGAGAGGATCCTACAATGTGACATCTTTTTCCACCATTTAACTGCATATCACCCAAACACAAAGCAATTGTCATGGCTGTTTTTGACAAGTCCTCTAGATATGTATTGCTTGGGATAATTGCCTTAACTTGCAATGGCACATGTGGTCATCAGTGGATGGGTGATATAGAAATCATTGTATAATTGAAAGCAGAGGATGGAGATGCTCTGTTTTCTTTTGTAAAAAACAAACCAAACCAAGAATGGGCTCTGGTACAGATAATGAACTATTGGTACCAAAATCTGACTAAAAATGAAAAAGAACACTGAAGCAACACTAAAACTGTCATAGAGCCAAAATATCATTGAAAACATAATTGAAATAATATTTGTGAATAATTTAAAGGCCACACAAAGAACAGATTTGCATAAGTAAATTCAATTATCCATGTACCAAAGAAATATGGTTTGGAACCAGAGGTATTATTTCTGTCAAAAGAAAAGAAAAGCAGGATCAGTGAAAACAGATGAAAAACAAAAGCAAAAGTTAACAAAGATAAGAGTCAGAGTACAAAAGGCAACTTTTCAGTGACTTGGACCTAATAAGGACAAAGTGAATTATAATGATTCTTGCAAAGAAGAAATGAATTATAAGAAAGAATCATCAACTAATTCAAGCTATAAGGTAAAGGTAAAGGTTCCCCTTGACAATTTTTGTCCAGTCGCGTTCGACTCTAGGGGGCGGTGCTCATCCCCGTTTCCAAGCCATAGAGCCAGCGTTTGTCCGATGACAATCTTCCGTGGTCACATGGCCA